CCCTGACATGGAGAGTAACCTGTCTGGCCTGGTGCCCGCTGCCGGTCTGGTGCCTGCGCTGCCACCGGCCGTGACCCTGGGGCTGACTGCGGCCTACACCACCCTGTACGCCCTGCTCTTCTTCTCCGTGTATGCCCAGCTCTGGCTGGTGCTCCTGTACGGGCACAAGCGTCTCAGCTACCAGACGGTGTTCCTGGCACTCTGTCTGCTCTGGGCTGCCTTGCGCACCACCCTCTTCTCCTTCTACTTCCGAGACACCCCCCGAGCCAACCGCCTGGGGCCCCTGCCCTTTTGGCTTCTCTACTGCTGCCCCGTCTGCCTGCAGTTCTTCACACTGACGCTGATGAACCTCTACTTTGCCCAGGTAACCGCGGTAACTGGGTGGGGATGGGCTGCGGAGTGGCAAACCTCAAGGCCCCTGAGGAATAATGGGCATCTCTGCTCCCAGGTGGTGTTCAAAGCCAAGGCGAAACGTCGGCCGGAGATGAGCCGAGGCTTGTAAGTACTGGGGCCACACTGGGCTCAGGCCCCGGTGGGCTTAGCCCCAGGCCCCGGGAGCAGCCTGGTGTCTGTCCCTCCCCCCATGGCAGGGCTAAGGTGAGGACAGCCCAGGGGATGTTTGTGAAAGCTTGGGAAAGTGAAGCGCCTGGCACAGGAGGCCCGCCAGAGGTGGTGCATGTGTGAAGGGCAACAGTAATAGAAGCAGCTGGGAGACGGTACCAGTGTCACCCATGACAGAGGAAGAGCTGGAGGCGCCAGCCCCCGGAAACGCCAAAGCCAAACCCCTTCTGGGTGACCTTGGGTGGTGATGCTCCTGTCCTTGGTACAACACCTTGGAATTCAATAAGAGCTTTCACAAACATCTTTAGTTTTACAACTTACTGTGAGGCTACTTGAGAGGTGAAGAAACTGAGGCCCAGAAAGGTAAAGCCGCATGTTCAAGGGCATAGATGTGGCTGGAAGCAGAGCCAGGGCTTAAACCCAGGTTCCTGACACCCAATCCAGTGCTCCGTCCACTGTACTACCGCTGTCAGTCACCTTCTGACCTCCTTGGGCCTCAGTTTCCCCGCCTGTAAAGCTGGAGGAGCAAGGTGCAGACTGGATGGCCTGAGGTTCTGAGGGACACCGTGGTCTCCTGGGGGAGGTTGGGTGGTAGGTGAGCGCGAAGGGCCGGAGTCCGGGGCTGACTGTGCTGTGGGCTGCAGGCTGGCTGTCCGAGGGGCCTTCGTGGGGGCCTCGCTGCTCTTTCTGCTGGTGAATGTGCTGTGTGCTGTGCTGTCCCGCCGGCGCCGGGCACAGCCCTGGGCCCTCCTGCTGGTGCGTGTCCTGGTGAGCGACTCCCTGTTTGTTATCTGCGCGCTCTCTCTTGCCGCCTGCCTCTGCCTTGTTGCCCGGCGGGCACCTTCCACCAGCATCTACCTGGAGGCCAAGGTAGGGTCACAACCCTGATGCCTGGTGTCCTTTGGGGTCTTTGGGCATCATTCTTCGGATGGAGGGGAAGCTGGAGCTTCCCCTCTCTGAGGGTCCCCTGTTGTCATCTGTTTCAGGGGACCAGTGTGTGCCAGGCAGCTGCGATGGGCGGTGCCATGGTCCTGCTCTATGCCAGTCGGGCCTGCTACAACCTGGCGGCCCTGGCCTTGGCTCCCCGGAGCCGGCTGGATGCCTTCGATTATGACTGGTACAATGTCTCTGATCAGGTGGGCACTTGGCATGTCTGCTGCCTCCTTAGTAGGCGTGGCTCCTGGCCCTGTCCAGGTGCCCCACTGGCACAGTTGCAGATTGGCTAAGCTGCTGGCTTTCCCACAGGCGGACCTGGTGAATGACCTGGGGAACAAAGGTTACCTAGTGTTCGGCCTCATCCTCTTTGTGTGGGAGCTGCTGCCCACTACCCTGCTGGTGGGCTTCTTCCGGGTGCACCGGCCTCCACAGGACCTGGTGAGAGCCAGTGTAGAGGGGTGGCCTTGGGCCGGGCCCAGGGTGGCTGTGGGAAGCCGGTGGGGGCTCGGAGAGAGCTCAATGGCGGCTCCCTCCCCCAGAGCACCAGCCGCATCCTCAATGGGCAGGTCTTTGGCTCCCGTTCCTACTTCTTCGATCGGGCCGGGCACTGTGAGGACGAGAGCTGCTCCTGGGAGCACAGCCGGGGCGAGAGCACCAGGTAGGAGCCTCCACCCCACCTCAAGCCCCCTGAGCTCCTGGCCGGCTTCATGGAGCCCTGGGGGCCTAGAGCCAGGTCTTGCCCCTCTGGTTTCCCCTTCCTGCCCCGAGGATGCAGTTGGCTACAGTGTGCAGTGCTCAAGCCCTGGGCCCTGGAATGTCTGGGCTTCCGGGCTCTGTCCTAAGCCTCTCTCCCTCCCCCAACTCTTGTGCCTGTGGCCGCGGTCCCTGCCTTGTAACCGACCCTGTTTCTCCGTCTGCAGCATGTCAGGCAGCCTAGGCTCTGGCAGCTGGTACGGCGCCATCGGGCGGGAGCCAGGCTGGTACGGGGGCAGCCAGACTCGGACCACTCCTCTGCTCTTCTCCCAGGTGCTGGGCCCAGGCAGCCACCACCACAGTCTCTACTCCACTCCACAGACGTGATCCCCTCCACCTGTCCCCAGAACACTCAGACCCCAGTCCCTCCTCCCCAGGCCCCTGTGCCAAGTTCATCTGCTGCTTCTTGCCCCGGATCCCAGGGGCTATGGCCACCTCCTCCCTGGCCAGCTCCTTGCTACTTCTGTTGTAGTGAGTCTGTGCTGATGGGGGCACGGCCCTGCCTGCCGGATGCGCACGGCACCCTGGCATGACCTGCCGCCTCCGCTTCTGTGCTGGAGCCAGCTACCTCTCCTGTGTCTGCCACTCAATAAACAGTGTCTATGCCCCATGGCTGTCCGTTATCTGTGCTCCTCAAACCTTGTCTGCTTGGCTGAAGGCTGATCAGACACTGGCCCTTGAAGGGGGCTGCTGGACGGACGGGCCGGGGCCACTTACCAGGCCGGAGGGCAGGGAGCGGGAGGAGCCTGCAGTCTGAGAAGGGAGACCAGGAGCCATGCCTTACTCCAGTCACCTCTCTACTTGAATAATTTCTGCTCTTAAGACCTGCTTCAAATGTCACTTTTCGTTAGAAGCCTCCCCTCTGGGTCAGGGAGCCGTGTCCCCTGTGGGTCCCATGGCGCTGTGGTTACGGGTTATTATGCCTCTCATCCCCGAGTGGATGGGATCTCTGGAGACCCTGCTCCCCGGTCATCACATCCAACCTGGCCCTCAGCTCAGGGGCTAGCCCAGGGCCTGTGGAGGAAGAGTTGGCGCCCATTTCCCTGCCAGATGTGGATTTGCCTGGTAGCATGGGCTGCCCCCCCACAGTCTACCTGGTAGTCCTGGGCCCCCTTCTTGGCCAACGCTAATAGCACATCCGCTGCCCTCTGCTGCCCTCGCCCTGCAGGTTTGCCCCCGGCTGGGAGTTGCTTAGGGGAAGGTCTGTCCCCTGTGCACAGACCTGACGGTCCCAGCTCTTCCCAGTCCTAGGGCCGAGCACTGTCTCGAAACCCTTCACTTGGGACCGTCCTGGACACCGGCCTGCGGGCCCCCGGAGAGGGCACAATCGCTTTTCTTTGAACAGGAAGTTGCTGCCATTTGTTAGGGCCTTTCTTGTGTGTGCCAGGCTTACAACACTGACCTCCTTAGTGCCCAGAATAGCACCCCAAGGTGAGAATTAAGATCCCTTTTCCACAAGGCTCCAGAACCTGGGAAGGCCTTCGGGCCCTCTACTGGTAGGGGGCAGCCTTAGCGCCCAGGCTCCAACCACCCACCCTGAGGGCTGAGCACCCCCCAGGGTCTTTGGAGAAATGGGGGTTGTTAAGTGGGTAAGAGCAGAGAGGAACCAAGTTCCAGGGCATGCCACGGCCCTGGCCCTGGCAGTTCAAGCAGCGGGGGAGGGAGTGCTGGCACCAGTTTCATGCTGGGATGGGCATGGGGAGAGGACCAAGGGATGGGGATACAGGAGCAGGGGCAGGAGGTGCCCCCGCGTGACTTCCCAGAACTGGGCCCCACCACACCTGGCGCAACTCCAGGCTGCCTGAGTGGATCCCCGCCCTTGGTCTGGCAGGATCTCCTCCCTCTGTTGAACCCAGGGCCAGGCTGCCCGCAGGGCGGGGAGGAGAGGCCCTTCCTACCCCAGAGGGAGCCTGGAGGTTAGTGTGGCCTGTCCAGCGAGGTGAGCCGGCCGCTGGCCACCCTGGCTGACCGGCGGGCAGGGCAGCACCAGGGCTCCGGTTTGACACTCCAGGCCGGACCCAGCGGCATCCCTCTCGGCCCCTTTGCCGCTCATCTCCGGGGAGCGGGCGGCCCAGGCTCAGCCGCAGGGCGGCGCGGCACTGGAGGGGTTAAGCGCGGCAGGAGGGGGGCTTCAGGCGGCGGGAGGGGGGTCCCAGCCCCAGCGCCCGCCGGCTCCGCCGCTGTCGCTGCCTCCGTCGCCCGGGGCCCACAGTGAGTGCGGGGCGGAGGGGCGCGGCAGGGAGTGGGGCCGG